CTTGATACGCAACACTCGGTTCGCGACTCTCGTCCGAGACTCTATCCGAGACGGGTTTCCGCAGTGTTCAAGGGACCCCCCATTCCTCCCTCTTCCGTGAGCCGATTGAAAAATCATTATCTTAGTACCTGAACAACCGCCAATCAATAAAAAATAATGAACAAACTCNCAGAATTATTCCTTATTAATTGGAACAATCAAAAAAAATCGAAAAAATTCAACTCTATTTCCCTATCTCATATCATTTCCCTATATCATTTCCATATATCTCCGCACTGTGAGGAAGAAAGCCAAATTTTATGGGTTGTTATTTTGAAGCGAGTCACAGTATATTCGATGACAGAGGGAAAAATCAGTCAATTTCAAATTTTATAGAAAGTTCAGTGGAATTCCATTTTTTTTTATANCTCTATTTCCCTATCTCATATCATTTCCCTATATCATTTCCATATATCTCCGCACTGTGAGGAAGAAAGCCAAATTTTATGGGTTGTTATTTTGATGCGAGTCACAGTATATTCGATGACAGAGGGAAAAATCAGTCAATTTCAAATTTTATAGAAAGTTCTGTGGAATTCCATTTTTTTTTATATTAAGAAGACAAGGATTTTCCAAGTATTCAAATTTTAAATCGATATTCTAAAAATGCATAATATCATTCTATTTCACCCTCCACTCGAAATGACACGACACAATCGGAGCTGAGTTCTAAGCGTTGAGCCACAGCTCAAACTCAAGTGCCGGGTTATGCCGTCTGATGAGCGTTTGACTGTGAGCCGGTATGGAGCGGCGTGTCGCGGCGTGAACTCGGGTCAAGCGGCAAGCCGAGGCTGAGCTCGCGTTCACCCGAGTTGCGGCTGAATCCCCGGTTGAATTTCTACCCGGGGTCGTGAGCCGATTGAAAAATCATTGTCTTACTACCTAAGGAACCTCCAATTAATCAAAAATAATTAACAAACTCATTTGTTAATTACTAAACCACTCTCGTATCGCTACTCTCGTCCGAGACTCGATCCGAGACTGGTTTCCACAATGTTCAAGGGACCCCCCATTCCTCCCTCTATCGAGAGCCGATTGAAAAATCATTCTCTTGAAACTCAATGTGCATCCAATTAATAAAAAATAATTATCAAACGCATGTGTTAATTATTAAACCACTCTCGTATAGCTACTCTCGTCCGAGACTCGATCCGAGACTGGCTTCCACAATGTTCAAGGGACCCCCCATTCCTCCCTCTATCGATAGCCGATTGAAAAATCATTATCATACTAACTAAGGAACTCCCAATTAATCAAAAATAATTAACAAACTCATTTGTTAATTACTAAACCACTCTCGTATCGCTACTCTCGTCGGAGACTCCATCCGAGACTGCTTTCAGCAATGTTTAAGGGACCTTCACATACCCCGTCCACCGATAGACGCTCCAAAAATGTTTTTCTTGCTACTCAAAGCCCCTCTAACTAATCGGAAATGATTAAATAATTAATTTGCCAATTACTTAACCACTCTCGTATCTCTACTCTCGTCCGAGACTTGATCCGAGACTGCTTTCAGCAATGTTTAAGGGACCCTCAATTACCCTTTCTACCTACATTGGGTCCACAAAGGATTTTCAACTTATCTAATGCATCCTCAATTTATAAACAAATTGATTTGTGAAGGCATACACAACTCTCGGATGCACTCTCGGACGAGAGTCTTTACTGGAGTTTGGCGCCCTAACCTCCGAAAATCCAAGAGTCGTATGAGTGTCCATTCCGAGTGTCGGAGCTACTCTCGGATAGGTCTCGGACTCATCCGCCAGGGATACTCAAAGAATATCAATAACTAATCAATTTATATATGTTTAATGTTTTGAATTTGTATCGCCTGCGTTCCCTTTTCCCTCTAAACATAACCCCGCGTGATAGAATGGCAGCTAACATTGGGAGATTGTTGGTGGACTCGAAAATAATCACAGACGAAAAATTATGATTTTTCGATGGGAAAAGTGAAAAAAAATCGATGTATATTTCCATTACTTGAAAAAATTGATGTGACCCCCCCCCCCTTAAGGTTATTAGACCCTCTTGATCACTTCGTTCGTCCCTCCCATTTCCTCCTTAACACCGTTTGATCCTTATTATAACTAGTCTCTTCCCGTTGAAAAATGACCGGGGCCATAGGTATCTTATAAGAAGTCCACGGAACATAAACATTCGATGGGCGATAAGTGCCGAGAGTGAAAAGAAAAGGATAAACACAGTACTCAGTAGAAAATCTCTAGTTACATGCTCCCTATAGGGTTCAACTGTCTCGGGTTAAATTCCTACGGAAAACTTTTGTTTATTGCTTAGCAACAGGCGTGGTATTACATAAAAATTATCGATATCATACGCACCACGTGATGTCAAATCCCATGCTCCTATTGGTCAAGATTTGAATGGTGGGGAATAACCCATATAATTTGTAATTGATCTTTTAGTGTCAAGAAAACCTTTTTCAGAATCATATTTCAACACATCTGACATTTTTACAGATATAATTTTGTGATTCGTAGTTTATCTCTTCAATCCATTTTTTTTTCAATGTCAGGAAATATTTCTATCAGATCCAAGTTATTCAATACATGTAAATTGTAGAATACGTGGCAATCTCATTGTCAATCAAGTCATAGTCAAGAAGAACATCGAAAACATATTCCAGTATACTCACAACTCGGTGATGGGCAAGCTNTGGTATGTAGAACGGTCAGTATACCGGTATTAAACTAATATCTACCGAGTATCATACTAGTATCGTACCCGTATATGGTACTGGTATGCCGTACTGGTATAATACTGGTAATATAAGCGTACCTTACCGTATGGCCATACCAGAACGCTTCGTATGCAATACTGTTAACGTACTAGTAACATACCAGTACGTCGTACAGTGGGCGCGGAGTATGATGCCTTCAAAAATACTCGTACCGTACCGCTATTATACTAGTATGTCGTACTCGTACGCCATACTGCTATAATACTTGCAGAATACGCAGGTAGATGGCTGGTACGGTACTGGTACGCATAGTACGCTATACGAACATTATACTAGTATCGTACCAGTTCGTGTGTTATCTGGGACATTTACAAAAAATCATCAATATCTTGATTTTTTTTATTCTCTCTGACTACGCCATAAATACCTTAAGGGGAGACTACTCTGAGTTTTTAAAGTCGCAGGCTATTAGAGTGAAATTTATCATGCATTGACGATCGATTATGTACGTCTAAATACGAATAGTTAGTGCAAAAAAATTGATTGTTTATTGTTTATTTGCCCCGCAGACGCTAAAAAAGTTAAAAATAGTCCAGAGCCTTCAATTTTTGAGCTACAGGGTTTTTTTTTTGAAAATTGAAAAAAAATGTGTACAGTCGTAATTACGAATTATTTTTTTGAAATTCGACTCCTACACAGCTAATTTTGTTTTGTTTAATATGAAAACTTGCGCCATTCATGTAAAATAGGCAGAAAAATTATCCTTCAAATATTTAAAATATATTCTCGATTCTTTCAGAAACATTATTCGGGCTATTTTACATGAATGGTGGAATTTTTTATTTAAAAAGAAACGAAATTAGCTGTGTAGGAGTTGAATTTCAAAAAACTAATTCGTAATTGCTATTGTACACATTTTTTCAAAAATTAAAAAAAAAAAACCTCTGTAGCTCAAAAATTGGAGGCCATGAATTATTTTTAACATTTTTAGCGTCTACGGGGCAAATGAACAATAAACAATCAATTTTTTTACACTAATTATTTGTTTTTAGACATATGTAATCGATCTTCAATGTAAGAAGAATCTCATTCCAACAACCCGTGACTTTTAAAACTCATAGTAGTCTCCCCTTAAAGAGCTTCTTAGAATAATTTTCTCAAAAATGTAAAAAAACAAGTTATCAAATCTGAGTTGATTTCTTACATAGACATCTAATTAGAATTCTCAACTTGACATGGCTCGTTTCACTATCATTTTTCTGCGTAGGGAAGGTTTTTTGGCAAATTAAAAACTATTTTCTTCTAAACTCAACCATATTATCAATATAAGCTTTATTGTAATAACACGAAGAAGACATTTTTATTTCATATGGACTATAAAATATGTCGAGAATTGTGGACGGTTAAATGTGCCAAACATTTCGATAAAACTACCGATCGGATAATGTATCTCTTATTTCTATAAATATGAAAAATATAATTACAAAATATTACAGATCCGTAAGCTACATATATGGAGTAAATCTCAAACCCCTTCGCACTTGTTAACTCTAACGTGAACACCAAAATGACCACCTGTGGACGGATGGCTCTTCTGCAAGGCCATTTTCAGTCTTTGGTCATTTCAATCGATACAGAAATAAGAATAAAAAATGTATATGAAAGATCTATCAAGCAATTTGCATTGTCGTCAGGTATAAAAGTTAGGATACGAAACTAAAATTATGTTATCATCAGGCACGCTCCTTTAAGGCCAGAGTAATTCGATATTCGGAGACTGGAGTTGTTCGAATAGTTTGTAGACAGAGAGTACGCATAACCAGCAGTAGAGCTATAAAAAAGATATTGAACAACTTATTTCAAAGATGCGTTGACAAGAATTTTGACAGGTGACACTGCTCTCCATTACGAAAGTGAAATCAGGGCTCCAATTCTAATTTTACTCTACAGCGAAATATGACAATTACTATTTGATGGATTCTTTCTCACTCCAGCCATCTATTTTTTTCAAATAAGTGGATCTGAATAAATTTAGAAAAAAAATAGACATGGGGAGAAGTTGATCTCCGAGAAAAAAAAGTTTGGAACAAAAAATCACCTCTCACGAACGGGGCCCTCCTGTTACCAAGCGTAGTGTGTGCTCAATACGACTTGAAGCTACAGTTTTCTGGTTTTCATTTTTGTTTGTCTGGTCAAGTTATTCTTTATAGATTTGGAAATAATCAATTTCGATAACAAACGTTCACATTCGCATGGATCGATACCATCCATCGGCCCGTACGTGAGGGGTTAATTGTTCTCGAGGAAGAGAATTACACTTCAATTTGAAAGCTTCTAACTCTCATACGGACCGGTTGGCGGGAAGAATTTGATTTTTTTTAAATTTTAGGTAACATCAAAGACTAAGCCAGAATGTTAGTATTGATGACAAAGCCAAAAATTACTCAAGATGATTTTTTTTCACCGAAGCGTACATCCATCCCATTTCCATTACACCCGGTGGCTTGGCGCAGTGGGTAAGTTCGATGCCTCACATGCGAAAGGTTTCGAGTTCAAATCCCGGCCGGGTAGAATGGTGCGATCTAACCATTCAAAGTCTTGATCATCATCGCAGTATCATCGCACCCTAACCGGGTCGAAGCAATGTAAAATAACGATTAAAAAAAATCCATTTCCATTGATAAATGTTGAATTTGAATTATCATATTACCTCAATTTTTTTTAAGAAAAACAAAAATGTAGAAATGCGTAAAAATGGAATTTTTAAGCTATTTCTAGAGTTGAAACTCTCTTTAAACACCCCCTTTTTTCTTATAATAAAATAAATTATTTGGAAAATTCAGGTAAAAAGCTAAATTTTTTGTTCCAAACTTTTTTTTCTCTAAGGTCAACTTCTCCGGATATCTATTTTTATTTGTAATTCCTTTAGATCCACTTATCTCGATCGCGGATGCTTAACAAAATCTGAAAAAATTCACAGAGAGTACTTTTGATGAGTATTAAACCACTGATTTTTTTTAGATTCTTTGAAGACCTTGAAAAAAATAGGTGGCAGGATTGAGGAAGAATCGGTCATTTGCGTTTTGAAAATTTTCTGAAAATTTTTATATTTACTACAAGAGCCACGAAATGTATTAAGTACTGGAGCAGTGTCAATAACTCATACATTGACGATATTTTAGTCAATTTAACTTACGTTATATGCACCCCACAGCCAAAGAATCATTGTAGGGACAACGACCTCAAGCTGAAATCAAATTATAATCAGTATGATTCGCAAAAACTTCAAGAGTGTATGGTAATGGTTATAAATAATGATACGTACATAAATATAGTAACCGCCTAAGAGCCACAGACCGAAGCAAAATTGGAATAGGAAGGCAAAGAACCAGCATATGAGCCATGGTAACAGAAATCCCCTGACACCTACGTTGATGCCAAATACCATTGAAGAAGCGGAGAATATGAGCGCCACAAAGTAGAATATCAAGAATCCACCTACCCACTGCATTGCTGGATGAAAAAATATAATTTAATATAATTAAATTACATATCTATGCTGAAATTTCTTATCAAGTTTTCTACTAATACGTTGAAAGATGATGTTCATTATACTTCTGAGACTTATTCATTCAATTACTTCAAATAATTTTCAAATATATGCTCATAATAATTTAGAGAATTCATAAGGATTTCTAACGAAAATTCGAACTTTCAATAAGAAAATGAAAACCAAATGAGATTCAGAACATTTACCAACTTCAAGTATGGCTGAAAACACTTATTCCATGATTTTCGTGTCGATTTAACCCAATAACAATGTTGAAAGGCATTAAGGATGCGTGTAAAATGTAATTCAATGGTCTGATGATCAATTAAAACTGAGGAATAGTTATTTGAACCCAACTTTCAAATGATTTTTTTTTAATTCAAGGAATTTCCGATGGAAAACCATGCGAAAATTTGAAAAGTATTTGAACATTTTTTAAGATAGTAAAAGTATATAACAATGAAAGATAAAATTTTCGTTTCATTGCTAGAGGAGTGTGGGGCAATATAGACACTTGGGATAAAATTGACGCTCAAAAAAATTACGAAGAAAATTTTTTTTTTCAAAATTCAAGTTTTGGAAAATTGATTCATTGGGCAATGTGGACACCTGGTAACTCCGTAGAAGATCGACTAGAATAGACGCTCAAAATTTTTTTTTCAAATGTTCAATAATCGAATTTTAAAAAATTGCTTCTTAGCAAAATCCACAACCGAAAAATTATTCAAGGGTGGGATAAAATGGGCACCCGAAAAAGTTGGTCCTAATCAACGTTTTTTTTTATTAATGCATTCAAACCAACAGGTTTGCTCTGCTATATGACCTAATCAACTTTTAATCAAGAAAATTTTCAACAGACATTTTCCAACAGAATCGTATCGGTACCTTTTAATAAGGATAAATTAGAGTTGGAAGAGATATTAACAAATAAATTTCAACTCTATTAACTTTTACATTAAAGTTTGAAATATAGAGTACCTTTGGATTTCCTGTTTTACTATTGTAATAACTTTGAAATTATTGATTTTTTTCAATGAATAATTGCACGCCCTACACAACTGAACTTTTTTCCATTTACGAAATTTATAAGATGGCTACTTTTCTACTTATAAAGGAAATCGCCATAAAACAATGGGGGGGGGGAGGAGAGAGAGGATAAATGCAATGAAAAATTTGGTTCACCACCGCCCACGCTATAAGTCAAAAATGAGTTTGTTTTCAATTTGAAGATAGTAGTCATGACTAGTGTTCCACATATTGAATATTGCTATTGAATCATTTTTATAACCTTCAAATCAAGTCAGAACAGTAAATTTGATCCAATTCAACTCATTATTCATATCTGAGGTCCATATTGCCCCACCCTCTCCTATCTATTGTCAAGTTATCGCATGTTGCTCGTTCGGTTTTAACGTATTATTAATGAATTACAGTTCTACGAGTCCATATCTGATCCTGGAATCTATTACAGAAGCGAAAATGGAACAGAGCAATGTTCCATGTACCCAATTCGGACTTCATTCATTAAACATCATCAATAATGCGAGAAGTATTCTTTGATTTTCTTATATACTCAGTCTATTTTTCTGTTGCACTCTTTACTATTCTATCCAATAGGAATCCCTCCATTAAAAAACCATGCAGCTCAACAGAAAAAAGATTAACTGAGCGATTTTCAGTGCTTTAAATGTCAGTATTAGTAGAATGAATTAACAAGAAAAACGATCTGGTGTTTGTACACAGAATACTTACATCCTCGTATATCTGCTTCAAAAAGAGGGTTATAAAGTTGTGTAGAATCACCTCCAAGCATTTGATAGCATATAAAGGTGATCATAATTGCACTGATAGCCTGGAATTGAAGAGGAAAATTATATTGATCACGATCATTAATGTTCCAGTTATGTTTACAAGCGTTTCTCACACTCACCACCGTGTAACAGGCAATTGCCTTACTGCCAGATTTAATATTGTTGGTCCAGATAATCGGCGACCAACACGACTGTACGATTGTCATTTTGGCAGTGTTTAAGTCTTCTTTTGTTTTTTAAAAATCTTTACAAAAATATTGGGTGAATTTGTATAAATTCTTATAACCACACCCACTTGCTTACAAGCACTAGTTTACTCATCTGCCTACACCTCCCAGGCGTGCCAACGAATGACGGTGTGACGTAGAGTGCAGGTTACGATGTCGATACTGAGATGACTGCTATATCGACTGAAATTAGGCGGTATAATTTGAAAACTTTATATTCAATGGTTTGTTTAAACACTTTAAGGAACTTCTGCAGTAAGTATGTGGGAGTAGAGGGAAATGGACTGCAGTGCTGAAATTTTGAGAATATATTCTTTGATTGATTACAAATATCCTCCCGAAGTCCTAGACGGTGGTGTTAAAAGTTGTGGGTTATTGGAATGAGATTTTTCATACGTTAAAGATCAATTATATAGATCTGAAAACGAGTAATTAGTACAAAAAAAATTTTTTTTATTGTTCGTTTGCCCGAAAACGCTTAAAATGCTAAAAACAATCCAGGGCCCACGTAGGAAATGCCAGTGTTGGAAAAACGGGCCAAGCCTCGCATAAGCCTGGGCTTGCCAAGTCTGGGCGCCTAAGCTTGGACCGAGGTTCGGCCATCCCTGGGGCCCAGGGCTTGAGTCTCGGGGGAAGGGCGGGTAACCGAGCTTTGGTTGACAGATCTGGCCCAGCCTTGGCCGAACATTGGCATGCCGGAGCTCGATAACCAAGCCCCAGCCAGCGGTGGCCCGGAGCTTGGTCATTGGGCTCCAACCGTTGGTGTAATTGTAAGGGTTAAGTCGTAAGGATGAGATGATGAGAATGGAATCATAGGGGTGGAATCATAACGGTAAAATCTGAAGAGTAAAATTGTAAGGGTGTAATCGTAAAAAAATGGTGACATTGTAGGTATTGAAGTCACATGTTACTCGCCAATTATTACGAAAAGAAGAAGAATCGTCATTCAACATTAATCATCATTGTTACAATTATTATTATAATTAATAATAATTATTATTAATTATTGAATTAATTTACCGATTAAACTATAGTTGAATCACTTAATATTTCTATCAACTGAATAATAAAACGTTCAAGTCGAAAAAAACCGAGATGGAATTCATATGGACGATTTAAAGTGCAGGTTGTACGAATTGCGCGGTAGGCTAGTGGGTAGGGCGTCGGGTTAGTACTCGTGAGGTCGGGGGTTCGAGCCCACGTTAGGGTAATATTTTAAATTAACAAAATCAGTTTTTCAGCGCTGCGTTAGAGTTTGGTAGTTAGGGCACTATTAAAACTAAAAATCATCCTAAAAAATGTTAATTATTTGGTTTTTGTTATTATTGATAATTGCCATGAATAGTTTGGCAGTTAGCCCGGCGCCAATCGCATGCCGGTATTGTTTTTTTTTCTCGTTGAACCTGTTACGAATGCTGAGGAGTAATATTGAATTACTTGTATTTCAATCACCCATATCATATTCATGTAATTAAGTCATGTTTAATTGAGCCTGGCCAACGACTGGCAACCAACGCTGGGCCGAGAGCGGCGCCCAGACCTGGCCCGATGTTATCATCCCAGGTTTCAACCAAGTCCGGTGTGGTCCCGGTTGAGGAACGGACCCCGAAGTTCGGCAGCCCAGCCACCGGGCTTGGGCCAAGCTCGGCCCGTTCTTTTTTTCCTGCGTGGGAGCCTCCACTTTTTGAGCTATAAAGGATTTTTTTTTTCAAAATTTTCGGAAAAATATGTGGAATAACAATTACGAGCTATTTTTTTTTAATTCGGCTCCTACATGGCTAAAATTTTTTTGTTGTATTTTTTTATACAAATAGTGAATTTTTTTATATGAAAAAAAACGAAATCAGCTGTGTAGGAGTCGAACTCCAAAAAACCGGCTCATAATTATTGTTCCACACATTTTTTCCGAAAATTTGGAAAAAAAAAATTTATAGCTCAAAAATTGGAGGCTCTGGACTGTTTTTAGCATTTTAAGCGTTTTCGGGCAAACGAATAATAAAAATAATTTTTTTTTGCACTAATTATTCATTTTTAGATCTATATAATCGATCTTCAACNCTCCAAAAAACCGGCTCATAATTATTGTTCCACACATTTTTTCCGAAAATTTGGAAAAAAAAAATTTATAGCTCAAAAATTGGAGGCTCTGGACTGTTTTTAGCATTTTAAGCGTTTTCGGGCAAACGAATAATAAAAATAATTTTTTTTTGCACTAATTATTCATTTTTAGATCTATATAATCGATCTTCAACGTATGAAAAGTCTCACTCCAATAACCCACGACTTTTAAAACTCATAGTCTCCCCTTAAATAATTTTATAATTTAAAGATAAGTTCATCATAATATTTTCACGAATTTGAGATAAAGAAAGAAATTGCTTTCAGAAAGTGAATTGAGAACCTCGATCAACAGGAAACAGGCAGTGAATATTAAGATGCTCCAATGTAGTTTGGGCCACCAGTAAAAAAGGCCCTTCAAGTACGTGTTTTTCTTCATACACTTTTCAAGCGCATTTTGAAATCATCTCGAAACCGTTAGTCATGAAACTTTTTAGTCCACTAGCGCCGAGCCGGCCGCAAGCGGCCGGGCCGTTGATCTTGTGTCTCATTTATGTAATGAGAATTTAACGAATTTGAATGACAATTCCATTTTTGTTAAGTCATAACATGACTTTTAATAGTTTCATTTTCATTCGATTTGCATCTTAATTTATAGTTTTGTCTGATGTTGAGATTACACCTGAAGGACTTTTCGCTGAATATAATGAAATTGAAAAATTCATGATAATCTTTCATGTGCTCATTCTGTTTTCAGTCTACTAAATGACTTGAAATATTTACCATGGAATGCTTTACATGTTTAATAATGCTCTTATTTGATATTGTTCGTTGATATCATCAGAGTATCGAATGACTACAAACTCAGATTTAGCAAATGGAAATGAGAAAAGTACAGAGCAAAAGTAGAAGCCAGGTGTCACTTGATTTTATGAATGGCTTACAATTTTCATACTTCAATTAATTCTCATTTATTACCATTTTTGTTTGATTTTCATCGCTCACGCTTGTTTTGATTGAAAAATAGTGTTGTTTCGTCTGATCGATCTAAACAGGCCCCACTTATCGACCGTGATTCTCAAAAAATTATAGAATCCTGTGAATATCTCATTTTTAATAATATTCGATGACTTTTCATTTATTTGTCATTTCGTGTAATAATTAAAGAAATTATTCATTTTTGTCTCCTTGAATTTTCCGTCCCTGAATGTTTGTTAACGTTCTTTTGGGGCACTTTTGTTTCCTCCATTTTTTTTACTTTCTTCATCCGATTAATTAAATTTTTCCCTCTAGTTCTAGTTGAATTTCTCCACCTTTCGATTGTTTTTTTACAGGCTCTATTATATTTTTCTCGCTCAACTATAAATATTCAATTCAGTTGGTTCTGAAGATTTCTGAATTCTAGGATAAAAATATTTTATGCCACTCATGCCTGAAACCGGCTGGATTACACACTCGACGCTTCGCGTCTCGTGTCTAATTCAGCCGGTTTCAGGCTTCGTGACATAACATTTTGTTCAGTACTTGTTGGGAAATTTCGTCCTTAACGTGTGTGGTTACATCACTCGCCTTCGGCTCATGCTGTAAACCCCACACACGTTAAAGACGATATTGCCCCACACGTGCTGAAATATACTATTGGAGTTTCATGTAGATATTTGAATTTTTCTTTTTAAAATTCCTAGATTCTATTTCAGGTCATTTCTATTCTAGGTCAAAAATTTTGGCTATTTATTCTCTCCCCATGCCAAGTATTTTTTCCAAGTTTACTGGAAGATTGATTGAATGAAAAAATTATAATTCATAATACACAGAGCGTTGGATAAAAATTACCATGAAAATCGGGGCGAAGTTTACTGTACGAATGGTAATCGTGGAGCGAAATGTAATTCGATGAAAAAATACCTGTTTGCGCAGGATATTTTACAATTCGTTCAGTAAAAAAAATATATGTATGGATGCAAAAATTATCCTCCTGTACAGTAAAATTTCCCACACCGGTAGGGTATTTTTCCTTCCGAACGGAAGTTTTGTAATCGCTGAAATTTAAGTTTCCAATTTTTTGTGTTAGGGTAACTAAATAATGTGATTTTTAGATGGTGTCTGAATGTATGTGTGTATATATGTATGTATGTGGTTCTTTTTTTCATGTTTTTCCTCGAAATTTTCTTATAAGGGACGAATCGAATTTCATAAGTTTTTTCATGGTTACAGACTTCAATAAGCTCTGTTCATTGACACCAATTAAAATTTAATCTTTCATACAGATTCCAAAAAATTTATATTTTTCATAAAATGTATTTTTCAAGGATCACTCAAAAAATTGTCATCAGAATGGAATTGGTTATGGCTCAAAAAATTGATAAAGATACTCTCATCATTCTATCAGAATATGGTGGGGTCGCACAATTCATTGTTGAGTCACGCAGCAGATTGTTTATGCGATTTGAAGGAGAAAATCAGCCAGTGTGATTTGAAGAATCATCAGGGATATCAATTAAATCAGGGTTTCAAAAGTGTATGTCAATGTCTTCAAAGTCAAGTTGAGTAATAGTGAGAACTTCATCATTGCTGATCAAGTTACGTAATACCGTTATGAGCTTATTATATAAAAATCTCTATCTCTATTAAACTCAGGTACCAGTCTATTACGTCCCTTATACATATTGATTCATTGTTCCGACTAACTTCTGATAGGACCTGGGTTGAGCGCTGGCTACATCCTGAATTAACCCTGATTAAATCCCGGCCATACACTAATTAAACCTTGATTAAACCTGGACTGAAAACGAATTCGAGTCGTGAGTGGGTCTGAATGTAAAATTATTTGATAGAAAGAAATGATACACAAAATTTTGATGACATTTCAGTTGATAATAGTACTATGACATAAAAAAATAGAAGAAGAGAATAGTGAAATAAGAATTTCAAAAAAGAAAACCCATTCAGAAGTAAATTGCTAATTTGTTAGCAATAATTACTATACTTGTTTATAAAAAAGTACCATTGTCCACTTGTTTTTCTTGCACTCATTTGAAGGTCATGGGGACGA